CCCATTACAACAGTGTTAGAGGGCAAGTGTAATTATATAGGCTATAATTACAACTGCTCGACTATAATTACAACTGCCTGTTTCAGGTGTAGGAATATGTAAACAAACAAAATGGCCGCCTGAAATGTATTTTGAGGCAGGGCAAATGGTTTTTGTAGGAATATGTCTTAAAAAAGAAAAATATGTAAATATAAAAAATACCTGGTTGTCTGGATGTAATTATTGTTGATATAATTACAAGTGACCTCTGGCAAATCTACCAGAGGCAAATCTACCAGAGTGCCAGAGGCCACTTGTAATTATATCAACAATAATTACATCCAGACAACCAGTTATTGTTTAAATGACTGCTGACAATTTGTGCATGTGTCAGTCTTATCATTGGGGTGCACCAGTTACTGTCTGAGGATTGTCAGTGGTCTCATCGGGGTGCTGAAATGATGTTTCCTCGTCAGCCGTGCAAACGCCTCAGATGTCCCCTTCACGTAGGGTATGGTGATCCAGCCTTTGCTTTTGGTTTGACTCTCATTCCTTTTCTTCTATCTCTGGTTTCTAGTTTCTGTCTTTCTGTTTCCACCTTTTTCATTGACCAGTCGGGGAAGCCACAACGGGTGGATGTGTCTTTTATGTTTTATGTGCTGTTCTTCACTGTGTCTATCGTCCTGCTCTGTGATGATGTTGTTGCATCTGTCGAGGAATGTCCGTATGACTCCAAGCTTTTGGTGTAGTGGATAGTGGGAATTGAAACCCACATATTGATCAGTGTGTGTCGGTTTTCGGTACACTCATAGTTTGATGGTGCCGTTTTCTTTGCGGACGATGAGCGTGTCTAAGAATGATATGGTTCCGTCCTTTCCCTCCTCATGGGTAAAATTAATGTAATTTGTTTTGTCCACTTGGTTCTGATAGATGATCTGTTAGGCCCTGCACTGCTCCCTTTTTAGCTCACTTGGCCCGAAGGGCCAAGAGAGCTTATGGCATAGTTTAAACAACTTCTCCTCAGTAACCAAAAGGCCTAGGGTGATGATATTTGGCCAGAAGCATGCTTGGATGAAGGGCAACAAAGTTTGTTCAAATAAATGACCTTCATCAATTTTCAAGGGCACAGGGGTCAAATATGTTAAAATCTTTAAACAACTTTTGTTGAATAACCAAGAGGTCTAGGAAGATGACATTTGGCCAGTAACATGCTGGGATGAAGTTTGTTCAAATAAATGACTTTGACCCACTTTAAAGGTCACAGAGGGCAAATATGTTTTAAACATTTAAACAACTTCTTCTGAATAACCAATAGGCCTAGGTTGATGATATTTGGCTAGTAGCATTCTGGGAGGAAGGGCTATAAATGTTGTTCAATTGAATGACCCTCATCTTTTTTCAAGGTCACAGGGGTAAAATATGTTCTAAACTTTTAAACAACTTCTTCTGAATAACCAAGAGGCCTAGGATAATGCCAGTTACATGCTGGGATGAAGGACTACCAAGTTCAAATGAATGACCTTGACATATATATTTTAAGGTCACAGGGGTCAAATATGTTAAAAACTGTTGAATGACTTCTTAATAAGCAAAAGGTCAAGGGTGATGATATTTGGCCATTACCATGCTGGGATGAAGGACTACCAAGTGAATGACCTTCGCCCATATTCAAGGTCACAGTGGTCAATATATGTTTAAATCTTTAAATGATTTGTTCTGTATAACCATAAAGTTCAGGGTAATGATATTTTTCCAGAAGCATGCTGGGTTGGAAGACTATTAACTCTGTTCAACCTAATATTATAAAGTCCTTGTTCGACATTCAAGGTCACAGGTGTCATATGTTTAAATCTTTTAATAGGTTCTTATGAATGAAACACTGATATTTTGCCTGTAGCTGTATTTTAGTCCACTTCTAAGATTACAAGTGTGAGATTAATACAAGGTGAGCGATGCAGGCCCATTGTTAAATATATCTAGGATGTCATCCACATATCGTTTTTAAGGTTTGAGGCCGCATTCCATCGGTGCCGATCTAATGGCGGTCTGCTCTAGGTCTTCCATGAACAGATTCGCGACTATGGGTGACACAGGACTTCCCATAGCAGTACCGTATTTTTGTTGGTACACCTGAACTCTGAACACGAGGTATGTCGTGTCCATGACAAGTGCTAGTAGTTCGATGATGTTGTCTACTGATAGGTTTGTTCTTTTCTGGAGTGTCTTGTCTGCTTTTAATCTCCCTCTGATGATAGTGATGGCCTCTTGTACTGGTGTGTTGTTAAACAGTGAAACCACGTCGTGGGAGTTGAACATGTCCTGTTCTTCAATAATTACATTTTCCAAGTCAGATGCTAAATGCTTGGAATTCTTGACATGGTGTTGTGTTGTATCTTCCAATGGCGACAGTAAATCTGCTAGGGATCGTGACAGATTGTAACCAATCCACCCAGTGTAGTCCACTATAGGACGCAAGGGGTAGCCTGGTTTATGGACTTTGTGCGTGCAATATCATCTAGGGATGTTTTCTGATGTCGGGTATATGAACTTGTATTGCTGATCTGTGATGCATGAATCATCTCTCATTTTGACCAGAAGTTCTATCATCTTTTTATATTGGGGTAGGGTCTTTCTGGAGAACTTCATATGTTTTGGTGTCACTAAGTAAGGCCTTAACTTTCTCTTCGTAATCTTGTTTGTCTAAAACTACAATAGCCCTGCCCATGTCTGCTGGTAATATGACAATCGAACTTTCCTTGTGTAAAAAGTAAAACTTTAATATCACATATTTCCAAATTGATTAATCTTATTGACAGGAATGTTTATGTCTACATAATACACCAAATATAAAAAAAAAATGTCTGATATAGGGCTTCAGGTCATGTCTGTATGCAGGCGCGTAGCTGTGCAGAAAGTCGCACCAAAGGTGCGAATGCGAGCGCCGAAGGCACGAAGCCATTCTAGGGGGGTACGGTACGGGGTTTTTCTCCGACAAAAATGTGTCGATTGTCGGAATTCCTCAAAAATATCTGTTGCGTCATATCTCTTTCCCTGATGAATCTAAATTAACTAGATATCTTAAATGTCTGAGCTAATATGAACAGATTTATTTCTTCAGATGTTTTGCTGTTGTCCCCCAAACCCTTTTTATATCATCAACATTTCTCAGAACATAAGATGACGGTAGCTCCTATATCGATGTTTAGATATATACATGTATATCCAGTAGCTCGACTGAAGATAGGCCTAGGACTACTCTTAAAAATATACTTTATCAGTTCATGACAGGGACAAATGAAGGCCTATATAATGCCACAGATAAGCATTAGATACGTGTCTTTTTTCTGACTTTTGAGGCTTTGCCTTTTTCATATTACATTTGCAGGCGAAGTGAATGTAAAACTCAGATGGATCCTGTACGCGCATATATCCGCCGTAAAACCTATACCAATAATGCTAGTAACAAATCAATCTACAATTGTTATTCGGATAACCTCTAATTGGTGAAAAAAAATAACACAAAAATACATCCATTCCCGAAACACAACCCGCATCCGTTGACTTAGTTGTATTTCATTACAATCGCTTGTTACGTAACGTATGTTTATTAACGAGATGCTAACCAAATCAAACCTTGTGTGGAATTTGAACTCGTGAGCTTTTTCCCATCTTTTTAAAAGGATATCGTCGATATCCACCTTTAATTTAGTAAGACGAATATCAGTCTAGCTTGTATTCCCGATATCAGGAGTAACAACAGTCAGACTGATCAAAACTGTGTTCGGTCGGTCCGGCATTACTTATACTAATAGCCGTTTAGACTCGTCGATGCTTAAGTTATTGTCGCAAGAGGATGTTGTTTCCTGTGTACCTACAGCTGCTTAGAAGAAGTCATGTATTTTCCGTTGGCTTTACAGCCATGTTTCCGATGCTGACAACTTTAAAAATACTAATAGTAAAATCGGCACCAGGTACCCCACATTTTTTCAATTGAACCACACATCATTTAATCACTTTTCCGGACTACCAAAAAAATAAAAAATAAATAAATATAATAGTACATTTGAATTTTTGATGTGCATGTAACTGCTTATTTGCTTACGTGGCAGCTACGCGCCTGGTATGATACCAAACACGTCTGATCTATACAGCTCTACTGGGTGGATGTACGTTCTTAAACAACTTTAAAGCGCATTACGTATTGACGCCGCCTTAAAGGTTTTGAGAGATCGTTGTGAGGTACCATGTCATATTTCCCCCAAAACGATTGCGACTTTAGTTTAGGTGCCGATGTTCGTTTTCAACGAAGACTAGTTTGTATGAAGAAAATATTTCAAACAAACAAACAAACGATATGAATACATTGTCATTGAGTATAATTAACATACAATGATAATAATTGTTTGTGTTTACGATGAAACAGGTGTTATCAAATGTATTAATTAAGCAGGCCAGACATTATTTAATACGTTAATGTTGAGACACAAATTATTGTTTACATAGTTATATTTGTAGTTACGGGGATTTCTAGGGGTTCCTTGCCGACGTGGAGATTCTCATATACAACCAAGCCAGGATTTTAGGTTCAACGTTTTATTCATCCAGGAGTTTCATCCCTGTAAATCATTAAAATATACACATAAGACATACATTTCGTATCGAACGCACCTGACTAAAATAACGCAATACACAATACACACGTACATTGATTGTAACATTCCACACCACACGTTTACCAAACGACCAGACTATAGCTGAACAATACATAACTGACGAGATAATTTACACAATGGCGTACGCAATAATATATAAATGTGGTTTACACTATAATGGTACGTTCTCCATTTATAAATATATAAACTAGAATTCTAGTGAGAATAAATACATACGCTCTACTAAATGACAAAAATATTGACCACGCCCGTCGGCGAAAATATAAAGGTAAATTAGAAATAGTCAGAAAATAATAATTTCAAGAATAAATAATACTTTACTTCTAATTCTATACCTGTTCCGAATATATAAAAAGTATTATTCTAGCCTATAAAATAAACAGAACATTGACCTACCTAGTATGTGGTACCTGGGATAGACTCCGTTCATGATGCTCATAATGCAGATTGAGATGATCGATGTGTTCAATATGGAAGGTATCGATGAAATGGGCAGATAGAAAGTTCAGAGGTAGCGAAGAAAACTTTAGGGCGGGAAAAATGCACGCAATGCGACAGATGTCATGGGTCATTGGTCAAGTTGTCAAACTAGTTTACAAAAGACATACACAACATACACAATACGTCACATAGACCACACACGTATACACATCTAAAAACGAAAGTAGCGATGACGTGGTACGGCGACTTCGGCAGTGATAACGCGGCTCGGATAACGGAATGAAAGAACAAAATACGGATTAGAATATAAATAATGAAATCGTAAATTATATTGTTACTAAAAAACTCATATTCAGTATGTTCCCACTGAGTATGTACTTATTCAAATAATTATGAATATCAAAATAACAAGGGTGCTACATATTGTATGGGTAAGATTTTAAGTCAATTTCCTGTTTCTAGTTAAAATTCCTTTGCTAAGATGTGGTTTCCACCTTCATGCTTCAATCCTTGAGAATTATTTTCTTTTGCTCTGTTTTATGATTACTGAAGTATATGATATATAAGTTGTTTATTGTTATATATGATGATGTAGAGAAGCTGTGAACACGTATTTGTTGTTTTGTAGGTTGTTTGTATGGAGACAAAGCAACAGGTTGTCAGGTTACACGTTGTTCAACTTACAGTCAAACAAATCTAAATTCTTGCTGCTACACTTGCTATGCGGGTACATTACCAACAACCCGGGGACCAGTTACTCAACCACTCACCACCCAGGCGCCAGTATCAACCACTAAGGCAACAGTCAGCACCGTCCCTCCGGAAACAACAGGTATGCTTGTCATGGAAACCTAATTTCAGAAAAAGCTACCATCATACAAAATATCATGTCTGGTCGCCAGAGTTTCCGATACTATGCATGTTAAATTCGCGACGGCGCCGTCATACCTGTCGACAACATGTGAAGTCATCAGAGTACAATGTACCAAACGTTGGGTACCGTTGCCATGGTACCCATCACTATGTATGATCACGATAGGAACCCTCACTACACATGGTCGTCATAGTACTGATTAATAGTATATGGTTACCAGGGTCCCCATCACTATGTATGATCACGATAGGAACCCTCACTAGACATGGTCGTCATAGTACTGATTAATAGTATATGGTTACCAGGGTACCCATCACTATGTGTGATCACGATAGGAATCCTCGCTACACATGGTCGTCATAGTACTGATTAATAGTATATGGTTACCAGGATCCCCATCGCTATGTATGATCACGATCGGAACCCTCACTACACATGGTCGTCATAGTACTGATTAATAGTATATGGTTACCAGGGTCCCCATCACTATGTATGGTAGAGTCGCAATAGTACCCGTCAATATACAAGGTCGTCATAGTACTGATTAATAGTATATGGTTACCAGGGTACCCATCACTATGTATGATCACGATAGGAACCCTCACTACACATGGTCGTCATAGTACTGATTAATAGTATATGGTTACCAG